TTCCTTCGCGCTAATTGGATCATACTTTTAGATCTAGAAGAATGGTCCTATCTCAGCAGACAATCATAAAACGGTTGCAAAACTGTTGAGTCTGCTGAACGCAGCCAATCATAAAACGGTTGCAAAACTGTTGAGTCTGCTGAACGCAGCTATTGAAATTTGACCAATCAAAACGATAGAAGCTAAAATCCGTTTGTCCTCATTGGTCAAATTTCAATCTTCACTCTTCAATCTCAGGCTGCCTTCCCATGGAGAAAGAAACAACAGAACGGAATATTGATAGAAAAGAGATAGGACGAGGGTTATTCTCATCTCTTTTCTGTTAATATTCCGTTCCGTGGTTTCTTTCTCCATGGGAAGGTAGCCTCAATCTTCAATACGATTACGTAGTCCGATTCCAGCCTGAGAGAGGATATGACTACATGAGGGCTTTTTTTCTGTAACCGCAAATGCCTCCTCGCACTACTGCCCTCTGGTGGATGTCAACTACACAATATCCAATTTTTGCGATGCTTCTGATGGAAATGAATCGCTGAAATAACTAAAATCTATCGAATTAATAGAGATTTCAACAATTTGAGCTGTGTTTCCACTTGTTAACAATTGTTGGTAAAAAAAAAAAAAAAAAAAAACAATGGATAATGGATGCATCCAGAAGCCTGACTGCTCATTGAGCCAGAGAGAAACTTGAGAGGGGTAGGGATGGGCGATTCGCACTCGATTATTTTGATATCGATGATTTTTCTGGTCAGGTATTTTAGCATTTATTAAAAATATATATATATAAAAGTTCTGTATTTTTTTACCCTTTTTAATGACACTGAAGAGCTTTGAGAGTGGGATGATGTACTTGTACTCGGTACGCTGTCATTTTCTGTTTCGGAAGAAATCGAAAGTTCTTCCTCTGATTCCTGTTGAGTCTGAGAAGATGATAAAGATTTCAAAAATTTCAAATAAATATCCAAGTGATTTCGTTGCAAATGTTTCCTCAGATTCGTAGTATTTCCACTTCTTAGGACGTCCTTCAAAAAGATCTTACAAGTCCCGGTAGTCGTATTTTTTACAAAATATTGCCACAGTGGACTTCTTTTTACGGACATTATGTTAGGAAATAGAAACAATAAAGGTAATGAAACTAAGGGTGAAATCACACGGTGCGGAAAAAGACTGCGGAATAGAGAATGCGTCATTGAAGCAACCAATCAGCGCTATTCCGAATAGCGCTGAAAAGCGTTGATTGGTTGCTTCAATGACGCATTCTCTATTCCGCAGTCTTTTTTCGCACCGTGTGATTTCACCCTAAGAGTGAAATCACACGGTGCGGAAAAGGATTGCGGAATAGAGGATGCGTCATTGAAGCAACCAATCAGCGTAGCCATTCCGAATAGCGCTGATTGGTTACTTCAATGACGCATTCTCTAATCCGTAGTCTTTTTCCGCACCGTGTTATTTCACCCTAACAGGGGAATGCTCGATTGTAGTTCGTTCTTGCATTCTGATCCGAATCGAACCCTAGGTGAAAACTAGGCTAGTGTTGACAATCTCAAGATGGCCGCTTCGATACGATACTCTCCAAAAGTATCGATCCGTCGATAATATCGAACCCCCATGCGTCGATCCAAAATATCGTGTATCGAATGCAAAAATATCGATACTGACAATATCGATTCGGTATCGTGCATCCCTACTGTGGCGTCCTGCGTCAGTCGTTGACACGTGCTCGATTTGCGTGACGGGATTGCGTCGATTTTGTGGTTAACATCGTTTAGGAAGACGAGACATTATCATGGCAAAATTAGGTAAAACATTACTGAAAGTCTTACGCAATGAATCGCAAAACGATAGGAAATAATCGCACATTTTAATCTGTTTGCGTAGCAATCGGCAAAAAAAGTCAAGTAGTTAGTTAATTTACGCGATGTAAATACTACTATTAGCGCCGAGACCCTGCCGTGTCTCCTGACACTTCTTGTTGATGTCTGATTGTGGGACATTTAGCTTAATGCGAAACAGAAAAAAGAGACGTATCTTACTTTTACACTACTATATTAATCATATGTACGCTTTTTTTTATAATTGATTATGTATTTACTGTAATCGTGAAGGAGACGGGCTTCCTCACCGATTTCGATGAAATTAGGCTTATTCGACGCGTTTTTGCACGAAATGAATGAATCTGGTAAAAAAGATGTTGGCTCTGTCCCGTGAACCGAGATATGAAGCGTTAAAATTGACAACTATTGAGGTTAGGAAATCTGTCGGCCATAAAATGCTGTGGTGCAAGCATGCGCTGCGATCACATTTTCATACTCTGTGACTTTATGCGCACGTGTTTTAGGTATTTTTCTGTAATAAAGGGCACGACATTTAAACTGAATAATCAAACGGATCAAATGCAATAGTAAAAAATTAGGGTAATTATTTAGAATACTCCTCCCCTAAAATCTTATTACTGCTTTACAAACACAAATTCATCACTTTACAAACACAAATTCACTGCTTTAAAAACACAAATTTATTGCTCTAAAAACGCAAATTCACTGCTTTAAACATACAAATTCTCTGCAAAAGCAGTGTTTGAAGCAGTTTTTTTAAGCAGAGAATTTTTATTTTTAAAACAGTGAACTTGTGTTTTTAAAGTAGTGAATTTGTATTTGCAAAGCAGTGAATTTTTTTTTAATTTTAAAGATAACCACAATGCATGCTCATATTGTATTGTTACATGGCTGTAACCTGTGACGCTTTTTCTGCCAGATTCGTTTATTTTATGCAAAAATGCACCGAATAAGTCTAATTTCATCGAAATCGATGAGGAAGTCCGTCTCCTTCACAATTACCTATTTTATTTTTTTGTTTTAGGACATAATGACATGTTAAGTGACAGTGACAGTGGAGATGATTGGGAGGAAAATGGTGAAGATTACTACAACATTTCGTGCCTGTTTTGTATGGAAAATATTAATGGATTTCCCTCTGCATTGGACCATATTGAAATCTTTCACAAGTTTGATTTCTGTGATTTTATAAAGAAACATATTCACGACACTTACTCATATATCAAATTAATTAATTTTGTTCGTCACAAGGAGATTTTACCAGAACAACTGAGTACATTAGACATAGAGGCTTGGGAGAAAGATGAGTATCTACGTCCTGTCATGGAAGATGATCCATGGTTAATGTATGGCAAGTATAAAGAACCAAGGCTATTATTTTATTGATGGCATTATATTTTCCAAAATTTCTAATTCTGGGTCATGCCTATTGCGCCTTCCTTTTTTTTTATGGAAATAGAAAAAGATATTGACACACTTGAGTCAATGCTCAGAATTACAAATATTGTATTGTGTTATGCAGATTATGCACTGAGTTGCAAATTTTATTATTTAATATAATGCAGACATTGAAGATCTTATCAAAATTAAGGATGTGAGTGAAGAAAGAGGTGTAAAACAGATGCAAAGTGACGACAGTGTGACTTTATCAGAGGCACAATATGAAGATATGAAAAGAATTATCAGGTCGCTCAAATCTCAGCTAAAGGAAAGTGAGACAACGTGTTTTTTAATAAAGCAGGTATAGCTATTATAATCATTACACATATTTCCATACGTGGCATAATGTAATGAAAAAAAATTGCTTTTTCAGCAAATGGAAGAGATGAAAGAGAAGGCCCAGAAGTTAATACTGGGTGATGATTTAGATGAAAGAGAAAAGAATGCTCCGGTTAATGCTCATAATTCTAATGCTGATGAAGGCTATTTCAATACATATAGTCACTTTGCTATACATCATGAAATGTTGAATGTAAGTTCTCTAACGGTACAAGACATCCTCAGGATCGGCGAGCGACCTCCGGACGACTCCGGGCGATAACGACGCTGTTATATTTTCAAAAATTTACAAAAAACAGTGAAATCCCTAAAAAAATAAACAAGAAGAATAAATGTACGTCAAGTGCATAAAAAAGGTATTGAACATTACATTCCTTTAATAAAAAACGGATACGAATTAAATACAATTAGCCAAGTATTTCATAACGCAAGACACATAAGATATATTGAAAATGACTAAAATGGTCAACTGGATTACAGTGAAGAAAAAAAACTTAGCCTATCCGGATCACATCAATTGCATTTGTGTGAATACATTATCTCGTCATAGTATTTGCATTATAAATTAAAATATAAAAATAATAGACATTTGTATATAAATATAATATATATGTATGTATATAATGACATAAGTTTATGGGACATGAAAATATACTCACAGATAATAGATGTGATAAATTATGGAGAAATAATATGTAATAATATTGATAATATTTAGATATAGAAATATTATAGATAACGAATTTACAAGATTAGCAATTATTAACATCTCTTCTTTGTTGAATTATTGTTTCCATGTATTGTGTATATCTGCAGAATATTGTACGTAATAATCCTTTTACTAATTCGTATTGCAAATAATTTCCGTATTATGAAGAGTCTTAGAATATTGCGTTTTAATGCAACCCGGATACGCCAAGTTTTTTCTTCACTAGAATCCGGTTCACCATTTTAGTCACTTTCAATCCATCTTATGTATCTTGCGTTATGAAATACTTGACTAATTGCATTTATTCCGTATCCGTGTTTTTTTAAAAAGGAATGTGACATTCGATACCTTTTTTTATGCACTTGGCATATATTTTTTCCATCAGCAATTAAAAAGGGTTACGAGCCATATGACATACAAAATACATTTTATACAAAAATTTTTTATAAGAAAAATATAATATAAAGAATGTTTAGCAATTACATGTAGCATTACATATAAAATAGACAAGATCGCGAGAGAAGACATATGTCTATTTTGTATGTAATGCTACATGTAATTGCTAAACATTCTTTATATTATATTTTTCTTATAAAAAATTTTTGTATAAAATGTATTTTGTATGTCACATGGCTCGTAACCCTTTTTAATTGCTGATTTATTCTTATTGAGCCTTTTTGATAATTCATTGTATATTTTTTTCTTTTTTAAAGAGATATTTTTTTAGGTTTTTTTTTTCTTTATTCTTTATCCGTTATTTCTTACTCGTAAATTTATTCAACTCTGACTGAGGTTACATTTTTTCAAAGTTCGTTTAAATTGATAATATTTATCTATGAAAAAGTGATAGAAATATATTTTATTAGGACAAAAAACGTACCGAGAGCTATCGTGATGCATTATTAACAAATTCTAACAAATTCCATGATTGCATAATGTTGGACGTTGGTTGCGGAACTGGTATCCTGTCAATGTTTGCGGCAAAATCTGGTTGCAGTAAAGTTATTAGTGTCGATCAGTCTGATGTGATATATCATGCTATGGATATAGTAAGGTGTATATTTAATTAAAGTATTAAGTACCGCGGAAAGTTCATGTCGTTTTTTCAAGAGATGTTTATAGAGGAAGAAACGACCCAAACTTTCCGCGGTACCTAATATATACAGAGTGTCCAAAAAGTTCCGAGACACCTGAATATCATGGAAAGTATAAGTATTACAGAAAAGTGTTTCAGACAAAAGTTGTAGGGTTCAAAAAGATCTATTTATTGATTACATCCGTTTGACCTTGGGTGGCATCGCCAAAGTCAGGTCAAAGTCACATCAATTTTTTTTAAGTGGAACACCATATTTTTTACTGCATATTCTTATAGCACATCTCGAAAGCTTTCCAAAACACTATAATAAAATATTTTTTCATGAAGTACTTTTCGAGTTATGATGCTTGAAAGTTACAAGGTGTCCGACCGACGGTTAAAACCTCTTGAATATTGTTCAAAATCATGACCTGAATGACATTTGTCGAAATCAAGGCCATTGGAGATTGTACCTCTTATTTTCATTTTTACGTAGAAATGAATTTTTAGTGCAAAAATGAAAATAAGAGGTGCAATCTCCAACAGCCTTGATCTTGACAAATGTCATTCAGGTCATGATTTTGAACAATATTCAAGAGGTTTTAACCGTCGGTCGGACACCTTGGGTAATGTTAATGCCGGCGATACTGTAACTTTCAAGCATTATAACTCGAAAAGTACTTCATGAAAAAATATTTTATTATAGTGTTTTGGAAAGCTCTCAAGATGTGCTATAAGAATATGCAATGAAAAATGGGGTGTTCCATTAAAAAAAATTGATTTGACCTTGACCTAACCTTGGCGACACCACCCAAGGTCAAACGGATGTGATCAGTAAATAGATTTGTTTATACCCTACAACTTTTGTCTGGAACACTTTTCTGTAATACTTATACTTTCCATGATATTCAGATGTCCCGGAACTTTTGGACACTCTGTATAATAAATCGTATTGAAAGATTATTGCAAATTAGATAGCTCCTATTTTCATTTAGATTTCATATAAGGAAAATATAATAATAAAATATATTCATTGATTTTAGAGAGAATAATCTCAGTGATATAATCACTTTAAAAAGGGGTCGTCTGGAGGATATTAGTATAGGAATAGACAAAGTGGATGCAATAATATCCGAGTGGATGGGATATTTTCTCTTGTTTGAAGGAATGCTGGACACAGTTATTTATGCTAGGGACCATTATTTGACGCCTGGTGGAACAATTCTTCCAAACAGATGTACAATTAGTATTGTGGGAAGTGGTGACACAAGTATGTGTTACAGTGTAATTCTTACTATAATAATGTTAGCGATACTTCATGATGAGATCTCATATTTGAAAAATAATTTATTAAACTCGTACTTATAGTCGTGTTTCTGCTGAAGAACTCATCTGAAACTAATCTTGAGACATGAAACATTAGATTTAATAGATGAATCTTGAAAGTTGATTTGATATTCATAATCACTTCATATTAATAATAGCGATTCAAGTGAGGAATTGAGATGAAATTTGTTCTGAAATATAACTTGAATCCTCTTTTTCGCGATTCAATAAACCTTGAAATTCATGCGTTATTAACATGTCAATAATTTGATTTTGGAAAAGGTTACTTCGAAACAAGCGCAAAACGCAGCTTTATTCAATATCTTAGGTTTGTTCGCGTCGTAAGCTCCAACATGCTCTAACATGCTCCTACCATAGCTTCTATTCACTCTATCAAGCGCGTTAAAAGTGAGTAAGAGCTATAGTAGGAGGCATATTGGAACATGTTGTAGTATGCGACGCGAACAAACCTCTTGTATCTCTGAAGTTAAACCCGTATTCATAGTCAGGCCTTATATTTAAGGCTTCTTTAAATTTATTTTCAGATGCTCTACGAATTATTTCATTGGCTACTGAGCATCTAAAGATAAATTTAAGGAAGCCTTAAATACAAAGTCTGATTATGAATACGGGCAAAAGTCTCACATGTCTGAGAATCGTACGCTTCTCAGATTAATATAGTTTTAATTGATTTCTAACTAGGGTATGACTATTGAATCGTTCGTATCTCAAAAGACATAAAATTTCATTCAGAGTATGTCACCTGATGCGCTCTTGAGATGAGATTTGGGAAACGACTATAAATACGGGCCTTAAATGATTGCATAATCATACGGGCCTTAAATTATTGCATAATCGTATATTATTCAATTGTTTGTAAGCTATTCTACATAGATTACTGTTGTTTCTGTGTAGAGAGATATATTGACTTGGTTGATTATTGGTCAAACGTATATGGTTTTAAAATGAGCTGTATGAAAGCGGAAGCGTTGCGTGAACCCAGTATAGAGATCTGTAATGTCGATGACTTGATAACGAGCATCGCCGAGATCCAAGCCTTCGACTTATATAAAGTCACTACGGATTGCGTCAATTTTTCGTCTCCTTTCACGTTGAATGTGAAGAAAACAGGATCATTAACCGCGATAATTGGTTATTTCGACATTTTCTTCGATCTCGACAATCCAGTTCATTTCAGTACAAGTCCCTATTCTACTCCGACACATTGGAAACAGACGGTATTTTCTTTAAGCGAACCCATTAGCATAACTGAAGGTAAGTTATATGTTTAGTTACTACAATTATAAATTAATATATAGTTAATATTATAATTATATTTTGTTTTGGATGTCATTTTAAAATATCATTTAAAATAAAATTTTATAATTATAATATTAATTGTAATTTTATAATTTAATTGTATATTATGTATTATTTTGTTATGATAATTGCATTGTTTTATTTCAAATAACGTTTTAGTATCTATATTTATTTTTCTTCAAGATAATTAGATCAAGCGAGACATTATTTTCTCACAATATCTTTGAAAAATCTTCGGAATCATTAGAAGTGTATGTTTATACGAAAAGTCACAAAGTAGCGCGATTTAAATTCGATTCAAATACTCTTCTCAAGTAAAATAATTATTCATTTTTCCGATTGTTGATAAGATAGATAATTACTTTATCCAAAAGACTGCGAAATATTTGAATCGGATTTTATTCGCGTAATCTCTTGTATCTTTCTATGAAAACATGTTCCCCTAATAATTTTTACTATTTTTCGAGAATATTCAGAAACATATATTCCAATTGTCACTTAATTTTTTATGTCCTCTTATCAATTTTCTTGGAAAGAAAGATAAATTGACAATACAGATGATATTTTAAAGTACATTTCGAAACGAAATAATACGCAGTTATTGTAGTTATATAAAATATAATATCTGTATATTTATACTTTCTCTTATAGGTGAAGTTATAAACGGCACGTTGGTCTGTCGAAGACATTGTAAAGACATCCGAGGCTTAATGGTCGTTATTCATATCAAAAATTTCTCTCAGACATATTTTCTGGATTGAACATTGAATATGCTTGTTCTAAGAAATTAATAGTCACATGTGCCAACGGGAAGCTATCGCGTTATGATGCTCTGATTTTCGTTGAACGTTCTTTTCCACGAATATTCGCTTAAGCTTTATCTCTTACCATTTCCAATTTGAATCTATAATATGTAGAATCTATAGTGTCCGTTTACTTAAGGGAATCCTAAAGACGATTAGTCGTATCTCGTGCACATATATACATAAATTTTTGTATTACAATAACGTTTTAATTAGACGTCTAAGTCCAATTCTAAGAACTCCACGTTGTTTCTTCGTACAAGTTACTCTAGTCTGTGGACTACTATTTCATAAGTAGTACAGATTGCACAGAGCTTCTTAAAACATATACATGAAAGCGGAATTGCTTATCTTACTATCTATATATCAAACGCGAACCTAACATCTGTGCGAGAGAGAAAGTTATAACATCCCAAATGTTCGTAATGCACATGCGTCAGTATACCATCGTCGGTGTGAGTTGTACAGTTGTTTAAAGTACCTGGCCGCCCAGGCACATAAAAATACTTAAGATGTAAAACTTAGGACCTCTCTTTTATCAACCCCGATTAACGCTAATCGATGGTTAACTCGATCACCACGATTGCCAACGTGAGAACTAAATACAGAAGAAGAATAGAAAGGAGACATTCTGGATACATTAAATGTCCTTAAGTTCATTTCTGATGCTCAAGAAAAGCTAGGAATCTTGCTGTAAAATTTTTCACTTTATGAATGAGCTTTGACAAGTTGTGCTCCTTTCCTGTATCTTTGCGCAATATGGAAGGCATGAAGAACCGTATTAAAGTCTTGCACTGGTCTGACCGGCCTTTTTCAGTCCAGTGAGCTTTCCTTGAAAGCGTGGTACTTCGATTTCTACAAGTAAAATTGGAAATTCACTGGCCAGAAGAAGAAGAACTGCTGTTGGCACTTCTGCGAGTCGATCGTCAATTAATTTAACTAGAAGTTGGTGAAAGAGGCCTTTAGCCTGATATTTCATGTATCGGTCGACAAAGCTTCTCGAGCTCATTGATTGACTGCGGGACAAAGAGATTCTCGGATCTCTCAGCCAATCAACAGGTTTAAGAAGTTCATCGTGCGAATTAACATGAAATATCAGCCTAAAGTGTAATCTACATTGGTTGTACGATTTCAAGCGAATTTTTCGAGCGTGTCAGGCTGCTATTTCATTTGTGCGTTTTTGTCGTGTAACAAATTTTTCAAGTCTGTTAATTGGCTATAAGATAGAGACATTTCAACCGGTTGAAATTTGTCTTATAGGCTTTCTACAATAAGTCATTACCTAAGCTTTAAGTCTTAAGCCGTAAAAAATTGACCAGGACCTTAGTAGAAAGCTGACTTATAATCTTAAGACAGTGTCTTGTGACTTATGTCTTGTGTAACGCACAAGAACTGTCTTATGATTTATGTTTTAAAGGCACCTCGTATTTATACACTTTTAAGGCATAAGTCATAAGATAGTTCTTGTGCGTTGCTAGAGACATAAAACTTAAGTCGTAAGACACTGTCTTAAGATTATAAGTCAGCCTTTCTGCTACGGCCCATAGTCAATTATTCTTCTCACATTCAATTGTGATTGATCAATTTCTTACGGCTTAAGACTTAAAGCTTAGATAATGACTTATTGTAGAAAACCTATTACGGATAAGTTTATTGTTATTTCTATTTCCGTTAGATTACGTAGATCTAAAGTAATATTCTGATTAGCTCATCGACTTAAGTTTACGCCTTACGCTTACTGTTACGGAATTTTGTCTGCGGTAGCCCTTTGTGTTTCTCACATATTGTTATCGTTAGTTATAGGAGCAAATGGGGCAAACAGGTTGAGCCGGCTGAATGGCACATGCGCATTGCAAACATTTGGGATGTTATAGCTTTCTCTCTCGCACAGATATTCGCGCTTCACGTTCAGTGCTCAATTCCTCTTCCATTTATATGTACTACAATATATGCTTTAAACACAGCTTTTATATAAAAAATATTATGACGTGACAGCACTAGAGCGCCATATTGGACTAAGAAATGATAAAGAAGATCTCAATTTCGAAATTTTTCATCGTTTTTGGCATAAATTCCATCTCACAGACACGTATTGATGCGTATACTTTGTAATCATGGAAAAGGATTTTCGAATCTTGTAAAAGAGGAAAAAAGTAATTGTTATACAAATATTATATGGTTTAGTTGTTAATATAGACGGCTTTAGGATCCCCTTAAACGGAAATCTAACTTAAGCGTTTTGGAGAATTCTAGGTCTTCATTTTTATGCTGGAACTGTACATATATAAATTACTATATTGATACTTATATCTATATATATATATATAAAGCTTTATTCAATATCTTAGGTTTGTTCGCGTCGTAAGCTCCAACATGCTCTAACATGCTCCTACCATAGCTTCTATTCACTCTATCAAGCGCGTTAAAAGTGAGTAAGAGCTATAGTAGGAGGCATATTGGAACATGTTGTAGTATGCGACGCGAACAAACCTCTTGTATCTCTGAAGTTAAACCCGTATTCATAGTCAGGCCTTATATTTAAGGCTTCTTTAAATTTATTTTCAGATGCTCTACGAATTATTTCATTGGCTACTGAGCATCTAAAGATAAATTTAAGGAAGCCTTAAATACAAAGTCTGATTATGAATACGGGCAAAAGTCTCACATGTCTGAGAATCGTACGCTTCTCAGATTAATATAGTTTTAATTGATTTCTAACTAGGGTATGACTATTGAATCGTTCGTATCTCAAAAGACATAAAATTTCATTCAGAGTATGTCACCTGATGCGCTCTTGAGATGAGATTTGGGAAACGACTATAAATACGGGCCTTAAATGATTGCATAATCATACGGGCCTTAAATTATTGCATAATCGTATATTATTCAATTGTTTGTAAGCTATTCTACATAGATTACTGTTGTTTCTGTGTAGAGAGATATATTGACTTGGTTGATTATTGGTCAAACGTATATGGTTTTAAAATGAGCTGTATGAAAGCGGAAGCGTTGCGTGAACCCAGTATAGAGATCTGTAATGTCGATGACTTGATAACGAGCATCGCCGAGATCCAAGCCTTCGACTTATATAAAGTCACTACGGATTGCGTCAATTTTTCGTCTCCTTTCACGTTGAATGTGAAGAAAACAGGATCATTAACCGCGATAATTGGTTATTTCGACATTTTCTTCGATCTCGACAATCCAGTTCATTTCAGTACAAGTCCCTATTCTACTCCGACACATTGGAAACAGACGGTATTTTCTTTAAGCGAACCCATTAGCATAACTGAAGGTAAGTTATATGTTTAGTTACTACAATTATAAATTAATATATAGTTAATATTATAATTATATTTTGTTCTGGATGTCATTTTAAAATATCATTTAAAATAAAATTTTATAATTATAATATTAATTGTAATTTTATAATTATAATATTAATTGTAATTTTATAATTTAATTGTATATTATGTATTATTTTGTTATGATAATTGCATTGTTTTATTTCAAATAACGTTTTAGTATCTATATTTATTTTTCTTCAAGATAATTAGATCAAGCGAGACATTATTTTCTCACAATATCTTTGAAAAATCTTCGGAATCATTAGAAGTGTATGTTTATACGAAAAGTCACAAAGTAGCGCGATTTAAATTCGATTCAAATACTCTTCTCAAGTAAAATAATTATTCATTTTTCCGATTGTTGATAAGATAGATAATTACTTTATCCAAAAGACTGCGAAATATTTGAATCGGATTTTATTCGCGTAATCTCTTGTATCTTTCTATGAAAACATGTTCCCCTAATAATTTTTACTATTTTTCGAGAATATTCAGAAACATATATTCCAATTGTCACTTAATTTTTTATGTCCTCTTATCAATTTTCTTGGAAAGAAAGATAAATTGACAATACAGATGATATTTTAAAGTACATTTCGAAACGAAATAATACGCAGTTATTGTAGTTATATAAAATATAATATCTGTATATTTATACTTTCTCTTATAGGTGAAGTTATAAACGGCACGTTGGTCTGTCGAAGACATTGTAAAGACATCCGAGGCTTAATGGTCGTTATTCATATCAAAAATTTCTCTCAGACATATTTTCTGGATTGAACATTGAATATGCTTGTTCTAAGAAATTAATAGTCACATGTGCCAACGGGAAGCTATCGCGTTATGATGCTCTGATTTTCGTTGAACGTTCTTTTCCACGAATATTCGCTTAAGCTTTATCTCTTACCATTTCCAATTTGAATCTATAATATGTAGAATCTATAGTGTCCGTTTACTTAAGGGAATCCTAAAGACGATTAGTCGTATCTCGTGCACATATATACATAAATTTTTGTATTACAATAACGTTTTAATTAGACGTCTAAGTCCAATTCTAAGAACTCCACGTTGTTTCTTCGTACAAGTTACTCTAGTCTGTGGACTACTATTTCATAAGTAGTACAGATTGCACAGAGCTTCTTAAAACATATACATGAAAGCGGAATTGCTTATCTTACTATCTATATATCAAACGCGAACCTAACATCTGTGCGAGAGAGAAAGTTATAACATCCCAAATGTTCGTAATGCACATGCGTCAGTATACCATCGTCGGTGTGAGTTGTACAGTTGTTTAAAGTACCTGGCCGCCCAGGCACATAAAAATACTTAAGATGTAAAACTTAGGACCTCTCTTTTATCAACCCCGATTAACGCTAATCGATGGTTAACTCGATCACCACGATTGCCAACGTGAGAACTAAATACAGAAGAAGAATAGAAAGGAGACATTCTGGATACATTAAATGTCCTTAAGTTCATTTCTGATGCTCAAGAAAAGCTAGGAATCTTGCTGTAAAATTTTTCACTTTATGAATGAGCTTTGACAAGTTGTGCTCCTTTCCTGTATCTTTGCGCAATATGGAAGGCATGAAGAACCGTATTAAAGTCTTGCACTGGTCTGACCGGCCTTTTTCAGTCCAGTGAGCTTTCCTTGAAAGCGTGGTACTTCGATTTCTACAAGTAAAATTGGAAATTCACTGGCCAGAAGAAGAAGAACTGCTGTTGGCACTTCTGCGAGTCGATCGTCAATTAATTTAACTAGAAGTTGGTGAAAGAGGCCTTTAGCCTGATATTTCATGTATCGGTCGACAAAGCTTCTCGAGCTCATTGATTGACTGCGGGACAAAGAGATTCTCGGATCTCTCAGCCAATCAACAGGTTTAAGAAGTTCATCGTGCGAATTAACATGAAATATCAGCCTAAAGTGTAATCTACATTGGTTGTACGATTTCAAGCGAATTTTTCGAGCGTGTCAGGCTGCTATTTCATTTGTGCGTTTTTGTCGTGTAACAAATTTTTCAAGTCTGTTAATTGGCTATAAGATAGAGACATTTCAACCGGTTGAAATTTGTCTTATAGGCTTTCTACAATAAGTCATTACCTAAGCTTTAAGTCTTAAGCCGTAAAAAATTGACCAGGACCTTAGTAGAAAGCTGACTTATAATCTTAAGACAGTGTCTTGTGACTTATGTCTTGTGTAACGCACAAGAACTGTCTTATGATTTATGTTTTAAAGGCACCTCGTATTTATACACTTTTAAGGCATAAGTCATAAGATAGTTCTTGTGCGTTGCTAGAGACATAAAACTTAAGTCGTAAGACACTGTCTTAAGATTATAAGTCAGCCTTTCTGCTACGGCCCATAGTCAATTATTCTTCTCACATTCAATTGTGATTGATCAATTTCTTACGGCTTAAGACTTAAAGCTTAGATAATGACTTATTGTAGAAAACCTATTACGGATAAGTTTATTGTTATTTCTATTTCCGTTAGATTACGTAGATCTAAAGTAATATTCTGATTAGCTCATCGACTTAAGTTTACGCCTTACGCTTACTGTTACGGAATTTTGTCTGCGGTAGCCCTTTGTGTTTCTCACATATTGTTATCGTTAGTTATAGGAGCAAATGGGGCAAACAGGTTGAGCCGGCTGAATGGCACATGCGCATTGCAAACATTTGGGATGTTATAGCTTTCTCTCTCGCACAGATATTCGCGCTTCACGTTCAGTGCTCAATTCCTCTTCCATTTATATGTACTACAATATATGCTTTAAACACAGCTTTTATATAAAAAATATTATGACGTGACAGCACTAGAGCGCCATATTGGACTAAGAAATGATAAAATACGGATAAGTTTATTGTTATTTCTATTTCCGTTAGATTACGTAGATCTAAAGTAATATTCTGATTAGCTCATCGACTTAAGTTTACGCCTTACGCTTACTGTTACGGAATTTTGTCTGCGGTAGCCCTTTGTGTTTCTCACATATTGTTATCGTTAGTTATAGGAGCAAATGGGGCAAACAGGTTGAGCCGGCTGAATGGCACATGCGCATTGCAAACATTTGGGATGTTATAGCTTTCTCTCTCGCACAGATATTCGCGCTTCACGTTCAGTGCTCAATTCCTCTTCCATTTATATGTACTACAATATATGCTTTAAACACAGCTTTTATATAAAAAATATTATGACGTGACAGCACTAGAGCGCCATATTGGACTAAGAAATGATAAAGAAGATCTCAATTTCGAAATTTTTCATCGTTTTTGGCATAAATTCCATCTCACAGACACGTATTGATGCGTATACTTTGTAATCATGGAAAAGGATTTTCGAATCTTGTAAAAGAGGAAAAAAGTAATTGTTATACAAATATTATATGGTTTAGTTGTTAATATAGACGGCTTTAGGATCCCCTTAAACGGAAATCTAACTTAAGCGTTTTGGAGAATTCTAGGTCTTCATTTTTATGCTGGAACTGTACATATATAAATTACTAAATTGAAACTTATATCTATATATATATATATATAAAATATATATTAATATACATATAATAATATTAATATGTATATTATATGTATAATACTTTTTCTCTTTCGCAAGTGAGATATAGAATTTTCTTAAATATTTGTGATAATTACAGAATAATCATTGATCTAATAGCTATTTTTACATTTGTGCCTTTTTAACGGTAGCTATTCGTATACACAGAGTGTTCCGGAAATCGTGAGATACAACCGGAAAGGCGGTGATTTCTCATGTAAAAGTAAGTCCATAATACAAAATTATTGTATAGAGTTCTGTTTTAGAAAAAACTGAAAATTTTGAATATTCGTTAAATACGCGTGTATCGCTGGTACAATCTGCTTGATTCATCCAATCTGACTATTCAGCGCTATTTCTGTCAGTCTGGAAATTGCAATAATTTAAAACAATGCAGTAAATTTTAATAATGTATTTATTTTGAAAAATTATTGAAAATATCTATAAAAAATTTTATTCTATATTTTCGACTTACTTTTATATTAGGAATCGCCTCTTTCCCGATTGTACCACGATTTTCAGAGTACTTTGTACATTACTAAACCAATTATAAACCTATGAAATCAATTTTAAGAATTTTTGCATAAACAATAGAGTTTTAATCTTATAGTCGTTACATCACGCTGGCTGCGCGAGCGTCAAAGACGGAAGAGAAGAGAATTTAAGAAAAAAGATAAAAAGAAATCTCTGCAGAGCTTATAATTAGTACACAGACAACGACGCATAGAATTCGCCCGGGTTCAATTTTTTATGGAATTGCTGTAAGGAATATTCGGCGAATCATTTGGCGAAAACTTCCTCAAAGAAGTTTTTTTGTTGCTTTCGCTAGAATTTTTCTCTAAATAGAGTTCGTTAATATCTCGTCAACGGAATGACGCCGTCGACAGATATAACACTTCGATCGTCCGATATTAATATTGCGCGAATTTTCCTGCCACTTTTCGAGCGTACAAAACTACGTACCGAATTATTGAATAACTTAGAGATCGTTCTTGCTCTACTGAATTTAAATTACAACCAAACGACTAATACAATTCTGTGATACGACAAAAAATTAGCTTATAGTGCTCATCGAGAGAGCGACGCACCGATATCTCCTGCAGTTGTCTGCACTGTACACGAAGATGAAATATATGTATTATGTATGTATGTACGTACGTACATACATATATACATATATATACATACAAAGACCTGTTTTTTATTCCTGCACTCTCTAAACTGGTGCACACGGTGAAATAAATTAAAGTGAAACAAATTTATGTTCGTTTTACTTCAACTTATTGCATTGTATGCACCAGTTCAGAGAATGCATAAAAAACAGACCTATATACTATGCTATTGTATAAGTACAATCTGCTGAATAGCGAATTTTGATCCGATTTGACCCGCATATATGTATGTAATTGCTGAATAATTAAAAACATCAATGGTCTTTTGAAATGTATGCAAATTGAAATAAATCTTTAGAATCTTATCCTTGTTAAATCATTGATCGCATCCTTGCGCCTTCAAGTATGTATATAGAATTTGAAGTATCAAGTATATATATATATGTATATATAATTTAACATTTGTTATTTTCGATTTACGAAGAAAATTTTTACAAATTTCATTTTATTTTTCGCGAAACTACGCATCTAAATTGCATTTTCTTAAAAAAATTTTCCTCCTCTTTTTTTATAACTTATGAAAAGGATTAAAAGAGGGAGAGGGAGAGAGAGAGAGAGAGAGAGAAGAAAAAATGCCTCCGTGAATCAAGAGGCGAAATATAATTAAAAGTGATGCTTTACAAAATGTCAAATTTCTTGAACAAACCATCTTTTTTAAATTATCGTAAATAGTCACAACTTTTAAAAATAAAAAATACAAAAAGTGCATTTGAAATGTGTTTTGAACAGTAATTTTTAATAATTTACTTACAATTTATTAATCTATACCAGTTGTATTTTTACGACCTTAACCAAATAAACGATAAAAAAATTTTCGAGTTTTTCTACAACTCATTAAGAACCTATTAAGCGTTCTTTTCCTAATCGAGACGTCCTGGGATATCTCTACGAATAAACTGACATTCCGTTCAATTCTTTTATTGCGAAGAACTAAAGGATCAGTCGCTGGTATTTATCAGACAATCTGCCGAAGGAAAGTGCGTTATCAAATCCCCTCGCGCGCGTTTAATACTATGTCCCGTACAATAATTACGAGGGATGAGGCATGCCGTCGGTTATCAGTGATACGCGGACGTTCACTGTCGAATGGCGACGACGACATACAATCGTATGTTTGTCGGCAGCAAACTCGTCCATGTTCATCCGATATCCCGGCGGTGCGAATAACGCGCTCCACGAGCCGCGCGGCGAGGATATCGGTGCGGCGCGGCGCAGCGTCGGTGGCGAGAGGAAGCGCGTGGCGCGCGTGTATATGTTTAACGTAACTCTATCCAATAATGCACGTTCTGGCCTAGGGCGACCGAGCGCGGACCCCCTCGCAAACACTCACGGATGACGGAAGGTAGGGCGCAGGGCGGACATTGCACACGCGTGACGCGTGTTCACGTTCAGAAATCTTCCCCTGTAAAAGTATTCGTTTTAACCGTGTAGCGTTACGGCATTCGCGCCTGTATAATCTCCTATACCTAGCCAGACTCAATATTTTCTAAATAAGGAGAAGTACAAAAGTAAGTATAGACAGAGAAAACTGACGTGCAGATTTTATTTTCTCGCTACTAGGATATAAAAATCATCCCAGATGACTATATAATCTCGGATTAATATCAAGATGTATTTGATTTATATACCTTAAATATTAAAATATAAAATCCTATGGTATTTATAGAATTAATTTATAGAATTAACCGTGTTTCAACGATAAATTTCCGATCGGGATATTCCGGTTTACATAATTCTAAGTTATTCTATTAAGAACCTGCTTTTTTTCCTTCCTCCCGCGCGTCTCGTGTGAATCGAAAGATCTTCATTAAACACAAAGTAACCAATAACCTAATATTATATCAATATTATAATTTCCCACTCAATAACACATATAATATACCTGTATAATATAATACATATATAAAATATATAATATAATATAATACATGTTGTGTGTGTGTACGTAACAGTTACATTGTTGATATCCATTTCCACTAATGTAGATTAATTTTAAACTTGGTTTAATTTGTCTCTTTATCTTTTTCTAATTTTCAGAACTCGAAAAAGATAAAGAGCGAGTTAAACCGAGATCAAAGTTAATCTATATTGCTAGAAATGGACATGAGAATAGAAAATTATAACACTGATATAATGTTACTATTACTTTGGCGATTGGTCATAACCGCGAGCTACGAAGAAGTCTGTCTATCGATAGTAAACTGACGTGATTAGGAGATAAGTAGAATAGATTAGAATTAAACTGAACGATTTTCCCGGAATATCTCGATCAGAAAATTATCGTTGAAACGTGTACCACGATTAATTCTATAAATACCAAAGTATTTTATATATAATATTTAAGGTATATAAATCAAATACATCTCGATATTAATCCAAGAATAGTCATCTGGGATGATTTTTATGACCC